CAGCAACAGTCCTTTATATCCATCTCTCAGCCCAGTGCCTGGTATATATAAAGTATATACTAAATATCGGTTAAATCGCCGAAACCGGTTTGGCTCAGTGGATAGAGCGTCGGCCTGCGGACTGAAAGGTCCCAGGTTCGATTCCGGTCAAGGGCATGTACCTGGGTTGCGGGCACATCCCCAGTAGGAGATGTGCAGGAGGCAGCTGATCGATGTTTCTCTCTCATCGATGTTTCTAACTATCTCTCTCCCTTCCTCTCTGTAAAAAAATCAATAAAATATATATTTAAAAAAATATATATCGGTTAAATCAATGTTAATACATCTTTATCCTCTTAACACACAAGTCAGACATCTATTGTAATTTTAGTCATAATCTAAATCTATCTAACCTCAACTCAAATGCCATTCGAGTCAACAGCAAATACCAAGCAGCTGCTTGCATTCAAAGTATACATACCTCTGTCATTTGACCTGTTTTGAAGTTGTCTTCTTGTTTGGAAGACAAATGGTTAGCAGCTGCAAGTTCAATTACAAAGTGCTTGGTAGGAAGGCAGAGAAAGAACGGGAGGAATCAATGTGTTGTTTCACATATTAAGCATGGAATTTCTTTCCAACAAACATCTTTCATTTCCCCAGGGAAACCCAATCTAAGCATGCCCTTTGAACTTAGAAAAACATAGGGCTGTACTTTGGGAAGAACCTAGTTTGAAGGCCAGGCAAAGCTGTGAGAGCAGGGAGTCACTCCTTTTGCATTATCTCCACTTTGTTAATTTTTCATTAAGGGAGAGTGTGGAGCAATGGAAAAGCCACCAGTCCAAAGGCCTGGATTAATTAGATATATGACAATGAACAAGTTACTTCCTGCCTTTGTCCATCATTTTCTCCTTCACAAAATAAACAAAAATCAAATAAATTAATAAAAGGGTAAAATTGTATAACCTCTAGGCACTAACAGGATTTTCTGCAATGATGGAAATGTTCTAATCTGTGCTCTCCAATACAGTAGCTACTAGCCACATGGGGCCACCTAGTGCAACTTAGGAACTGATTTTTAAACTTTAATTTTAATTAATTTAAACTTATATAGCTACATATGGCTAGCTACAGTTTTGGAGAGTGAAGCTCTAAAAAGATCTCTAACATTTTATGCAATCTTTGGAGGGTGGTGGGAAAAGCCTGGTGTTAAGAGTAGGACAGACCCAGGTTCTAAACTTAGTTCCACCACTTACTACTTGTATAACCTTGCACAAATAGTTAACTTCATTTTCCTTCTTTGTACAATAGAATAGTATGACCTTTCTTGCAGAATTTTAGAGCGAATTCAAGATAATGATGTAAATGGACCAGATAAACTCTACATAACAGTAGTTACTTTTCCAGTTATGATGTCCTTCAGGGATAAAAGTTTCATGTCTTCTGACTTCATCCTACTGATCCTTCCTGAGCTGGGACCCATACTTAATTATTACCCTACATATTTTATTGATTTTGGAGAGGGAGGGAGAAGGAGAGAGAGAAGAAAACATTAATGATGAGAATCATCGATTGGCTGTCCCTGCACCGTCCGCCCCCCGCCCCACCCCCCAGTTGGGGATCGAGCCAGCAACCCAGGGCATTGAACCGTGACTTCTGGTTCATGGGTCAATGCTCAACCAATGAGCCACACTAGCCAGGCTTACCCTACAGATGCAGCCCTTGTCTTTCAAGAATGCAATTTGCTCAGGAATTATTCCAGGTCCTCAGCTATGGGCGAGCCCTCTGTAACTCAAATCCTCTGTGCCTCCGGAACTGCTGATTTCCGCTTATCCTGTGTCCCCTCCAGCTCACACCAGCATTCAGGAATTCACAAAACTCCTCCCTGTGATTGCATATCAAGCTGAAACTTTGTTCAATGTAACTAAAGCACCTGTTGCTGGTTTCCGGTACTTTCCTCACCAACTCTCCCCTTGACTTCCCCTAATAAATATTTTATGGCCTTTTAAAATTTAGAAAAGTTTATGATTATCTTTTTTTTGCAACTGTTCAGTATACTCAGAAATAGAAATGCTGCAAACTACATTTATGTCTAATCCAGCATTAGTCTAGTTACCAAAATAAAACAAGGTACAGGAGACTGTTTTAGAAAGAATGTTCCACTAAAATAGTAAAAAGTGTTGCAAATCTCTTATCTAAATTAATATAATGTGTTAAGGGCTTGTTCCAAATATCCCACTGGTCCGTTCTTTGGTAAATGGAACCTTTACATGGTTTAAATGACCAAGTTTACACAAATGACCAAGGTAAGCAGGATAAATTATCTGCCCAGCCGGGTGTGGCTCAGCGGTTGAGCCTCGACCGAGGAACCAAGAGGTCACCGGTTCGATTCCCAGTAAGGGCATATACCTGGGATGCCGGCTCGATCCCCAGTGTGGGGTGTGCAGTAGGCAGCCAATCAATGATTCTCTCTCATCATTGATGTTTCTATCTCTCTCCCTCTCTCTTCCTCTCTGAAATCAATAAAAATATATATTTAAAAAATTATTAATAACTGTTAGAATATTAAGCTGCTCTCTTATTCCCTCCCCCTCCCCCCACTCCTCCCACCCTCATTCCTCAGACTGGAGGAAAGGGGATTGAGAAGAGGGGGTAGGGGAGAGGTAGGCTGAAATACAGGCTGGCATTTTAGTTGGATTTCAATCTGGATTTGAGTAAGCCATTAGACAAAGGTTTACAGTCAGCTTGGATTCATGCTAACTTCTAAGGCCTCCCCCAATAAAGACATTCTTGAAGGATCAGTTACTGAAGGATGGTATGAAATCAAATAAGACAAATAATTTTGACTCTGGACTCTCAAATATAATGAAGGTCTCATTTAATTATTTAAAACTAACCTGTATATAACTCAATAATGAAGGAAACATAACCTGGATCCAGGCAAACCTGTGAATACAGCAATATGATTGGCTAGTCATGCCTTCTTACATCATCCAAATGTTCAAGATTTAACCTGAATCTAGAACCCAAGTAGCTCATTCACTCAATTGTTCCACTTTGTCTAAAAGTTAATGCACTTAAGAGCATTCAAAAGATTCTGAACTTTTCCTGGTAACAGTTAAACTCAAAATAGGTCAATTCCAGAAAGGCATTCATTTTAAGGGATTTTTGCCTGTGGTTATTTTGAAAACCACTGCTTTTAAAACTGACATTATGAAGCTTAAAAATAGGCCTCTTACTAAGGATCTTGGGCTAAAATACCCTTTCCTTCCCCCATTTCCTTATTTCCCTTTTCCCTCAAACACCTAGGAGAGTGATACTATAGAGGTATCTTCTCCAGAGCTTCAGATTATTATTTGAAAAGGAGTTTTTAAAAAATTTTTTAGGATATTGGACAAAGTTACCAAAATTCAGGGTTGAGTAAAAACTTGAAAATTTTTCAAACCAAATGACAACATGTAATATATACACCATAAGAAAATGAGTGGGGCCCTAACCGGTTTGGCTCAGTGGATAGAGCGTCGGCCTGTGGACTCAAGGGTCCCAGGTTCGATTCCGGTCAAGGGCATGTACCTTGCTTGCGGGCACATACCCAGTAGGGCGTGTGCAGGAGGCAGCTGCTCCATGTTTCTCTCTTATCGACGTTTCTAACTCTCTATCCCTCTCCCTTCCTCTCTGTAAAAAATCAATATAATATATTTTTTAAAAAAAAGAAAGAAAGAAAATGAGTGGGAATGAAAACTCAGCCACCTCTTTCCACTCCAGCTGTGTGAACTGCCTGGACGTTCCTTCCCCTCCGTGAGAAGGATTTCCCTCGTCTCATAAACGAAGGCACTGGGCTAGAGAATCTGTAAGGTCCCATCCAGCCCTAACAGGCTCTACTTCTCTAAAGCTGGGCCACTGCTTCCTATTTTCATGGCTCCTTGGAAAGAGTAGAAAAGTCCCTGGGCCAGAAGGTTCTTGGGAAGCTTCATCATACTTACTAGTGTTCCCTTGGGACACAAGAACTGCTAATGAGAGCAATGAAAGATGAGATGGCTATAAAATATAAAAGGTGTTGAGAGGGAAAATTCATGTTTTGCAGATGACACTAGTAGATCTAGAAATGCACATATATCCAAATCAAAATATTACTAGATATAATAAGTATATTTAACAAAGCTGCAAAACAACTCATACAAATCAAACCATAGTTAAGCTGGAAATACAAATTTTAAAAGGTTCAATTACAACAGCATCAAAGGGTTAAGTATCTGAAATATATTAACTCAGGACACAAGAGAATTATTCAGAAGAAGCTATAACACCATCACAGGAAACATTAATAAATGAAAAGTATACAATGAAAACTTAAAGTTTTCTTTAACCTTACCAAATTAAAAAAGTACCAAAACTATAAGAGTGAGTTAAAAGGAAATTTTATAAATAGAACAAATTACCACAAAGACCAAATAAAGGTAAACTGAAAATATAACAGATGGATAATTAAATCTTATTTAATTAACTCCAGTAAGATACCAGAACTCATTGTGGAGAAAAATTAACTTAGACCCCATACCTCAAGTCAAATACATTAATTCCACATGGGACAAAAAGTTAACCATATAAGGGAGAGAAAAAGCTGGAAGAAAATGAAGCCACATACTCCTGCTAGTTATGAAGAGATAACAGATGCCTAAAAAAAGAAAAGGAAGCTATACCATAAAAAAGGAATGCTTCTGAAGAAAAAAATAAATAATTTTTTTCTGAAGCAATACAACATAAAAGGAAAACATCACAACGGGGCAATGTAGTAACCACATAATTTATAAAACTTTAAAATACAAAGCACACTGACCTATTGCTTCAAAGTCAGAAGACAAGCAATTGTGTATGGGTTAATAAAAGACATGAACTAAGAAAAAATAAATAAAATACAAAGCAAATAAAAACTATTCAAACATATTTTAAAAAACAGAGGGGAAGGAAATTTGCCCATGACTTTTCAAAATGTCCAGCTAGCACCAAAAATTCGTCCCACCTACCTCTCCAGCTTCATCTCCTGTGACCTGCACTGATGCACCGGTCACACTCAACTACTTGCCGGCTCCTCCACCCATCCCAAGCTTTCCCACTTGTGTGAAGTGGCTCATCCTTCTCTCTCTTCATGCTTCCCCCACCCCCATTCCCATGGAAATCCTAGCCATCCTTCAAGACTCAGCTCAAATGTCCTCTCCTCCAAGAAGGCTCTCCTAATCTCCTCCACTGGACGTGAGTCTTCCTCTTCTCAGTGAGCTCCTACAGTACTTTCTTTGTGCCTCTTCTCTTAGGGCACCTTTCTTACTCTGCAGCCATTTGTTTCCTTCTTGTGCCCCTGGCAACCTCTTCCTCCTAGATGAGATTTTTAAGATCTTGGGAGGCAAAGACAGCCTTACTCACCGACCTACAGTTTCTAGCATAGTGCATTACATTCAGTAAATAGTCAAAACATATGAAACTGAATTGATGAAATACAGAAAAATAATCCCATTTCAAAAATACAGTCTGGCTAACTATTAACATAAAGCAGACTGACCTTTAAAGGAGCCCTTGTACTGCCTACTAAACTATCAAAAACCACTAAACTTAAAACACACACACACACACACACACACACACACACACACACACACACACTTCCTGAATCTTAAGGAAACAGTTGAAATTAATTGTAAATTTCAGTTCTATCTTTTTTGGGGGACATATTCTATTAATGTGTAAGGTGGTAATTACAACAGCGGTAACATGGTTCATTGCCTCTGATTCTGTGTATGAAGTAAACTAAAGCAGAACAACATAAACTGGTTCAGAACATTTAGAAGAGTATCAATAAACAATATTGATATCGATAAAATCTGAAAGCCACCTAAATAATTAACAGTGTCATTTGTGAAGCCAGACCCTATCAAATACTACTCTTCAGCCAAAAATAAACAAGTATGAGGATTATGTCCCTGTGTAAAATGGAGTGGGGGGGGACTCATCAACTGATCACAACTATCTAAATATGTATATAATGGAAAAACCAAATTAAACTGGAAAACTTAATGTCTATAGGTTCTTTCTTTAAAAGGTATTTATACATTCAAGTTTTTTGAAAGTTGTGCTTAAGCAGGTTCAAAGGAGGAGTGAGGGAAAAAGAGGTCACTCTATCCTTGTGCACTTTTTGTTCAACTCCCATGTAACCTCTTCTTTAACTGACGCCCTTGCTGACATCAAAGCACGGTGCCCCTGGGATCTACACCAAAGAAACTGGAGGCAGGGTCAGCATTTTTAGCAGTCGGCCTTGCCCTGGGATTCAGAGAACACCTGCTACTTGAAAACAAAACGCCATTCATTGTGGGAGGTGTTAACTTTACAAACAGGTCTCCTGGGCTTTCAGGCAACAGAACCAGGACACGGGACCTAAAGTAAAACCACAATCAAGTGTCAGTAAGAAGCAAGGATGATTTTTCAAAACTGGCAACTTCTGCAAGGAAACAACAGAAACAAAACCCTAAGTTTTCTTCTGAGGCTCACCTCCTCTTCCCAGCCTGTGGGTTCTCTGGATTTGTTTTCTCAACATGTCAGAAAGATTCACTATTGCTTGACCTGTGCTTCCTGTGGATATGCTGGAAATAACTATCAATTTAAAGTTTTGTGTTTGTTTGCTTAAACATTATTTTGGCTTTGTCCACTCAACCAAAATTTTAATTGGTATCAACAGTGTTATAAGATTCAGGGGTCCAAAGTGGTATGGTCCCTAATAATCAAGAAAGTGTTATGATTAAAAATGATATTGTATTTAATGTGATATTACACAAATAGTTCAAAAGGAGAGAAGTGCAAGTTAACATTAAAAAGGGCATAAGTGGTTGAACATCAATCTATGGACTGGGGGAGATCGCGGTGCGAACAGGGCAAATGCCCAAATTGTGGGCATGATCACCAGAAGCGGGCATTCTCTCTCATCATTGATGTTTCTATCTCTCCTTCTCCTTTCTTCTCTGAAATCAATTTTTTAAAAAAATTTTTGTTAATAAAAATACAAAGAGCATAAAACTTAGGATGAATTTTGTTCTTTGGGTACTTTAAAAAAATGTATTATGAATTTTTCCAAACATACAGAAAAATGGAAAAACAAAAACAGCAAAACTCATAAATTAACTAAATAATTGTGAACATTTGCCCCATTTGCTTTTTCCACTATGTGTCTATGTGTATTTTTTGCTGAAACCATTTCAAAATAAGTTTCATGCATCATCTATGAGTCACAACACTCTCCTACATAATCATACTACTACGTCTAAAAAAAATAATAACTCTCTATTCAAATTTCCCCAATTGACCCAAGAATGCATTTTATAGCTGTTTCATTTTTTGACTCAGTACCCAATTGAGATTCATTCATGCATTCCATTTAGTTGGCATGTTCCTTAGTCTCTATACCAGAACAGCACCACTACCCATCCCCCACCCTCCCCTTTTTTCCTATGACTTTGACTTTTTAAATAGACTGGATCAGTTGTCCTGGAGAATGTTCTGCATCCTGGATTTGTCTGATTGTTTCCTCTTGGTGTCATTTAACTTGTTCCTCTGTCCCTGTGTTTGCTGTAAATAGGAAGTCAGGTCTCAAGGCTTATTTAGATGCAGGACTGGGTTACGTTTTAAAGGATGGACAGCATGTTTAACGTCAAAATCTGTATGATTTATCAACATTTGCAATTTAGTATTAAGAATAAAGGGTGCCTTGGCTAGAGTGGCTCAGTTGGTTGAGTATCATCCTGTGCATGGAAAGGTTGCTGATTCGATTCCCAGGCAGGGCATATAGCTGGGTTGCAGGTTCAATTCCCGGTAGGGGAACATACGGAAGGCAACCAATCAATGTTTCTTACATCGATGTTTCTCTCTCTCTTCCTCTAAGCATGTTCTCAAGAGAGGATTAAAAATAAAATAATGAGAACCAAGATGGCAGCATAGGTAAACACCTACCTGTACTTGCTGCCTCCCACAACCATATCAAAATTACAACTACAATACAGAACTATCATCCAGAACCGTGGGAAAGTTGGCTGAGAGGAAGTACTACAACTAGAGTGGTAAAGAAGAAAGCGCATTGAGACTGGTAAGAGGTGCGGAGGCGCGGAACAGGCTGGCACCCGGGTGTGCCGCTTTTTTAATGGGGAGGGAGATACAAGCTCCTGCTTACTCTGAGCTCCAGTGCTGGGAGAGACTCTGGGGAACCCAGACACATGTGGGGATAAACTGGACTGTCTGGCATCGGGGCAGGAACATGAAGCAGCTTTCTTCCAGACAGAGGTGCTCACAATGGTCATTGTTCCTGTGCTGGGACCGCCCAGGTGCAGGGCTGACTGGTAGCCACGGCTGTTTGCTCCACTCTAGAGATTCCCCGAGACCCCGCCCAAACCAATTTACAACCCCACCAAGCTATGTGCAGCAGCTTTTGCATATGCATGGCCTGTCCTTTCTCAGCCTAAAACCTGTCAAATAAATTGCAGCTGGGTCAGGAAGCCCCAAAGCTAGCAAAAGAAGGCCCAAGGCCACAACAGCCTGTGTTGCTTCATAGCTGGGCTTCACTGGGCACTTCCAAACCCCATACAAAGAGGAGGAATCTGCAGATCTCTCTGTAGCTCCTGTTAGGTGGCCCCAAGTAGTGGCTGACTTTGCACCTCCTTGGAGATCCAAGAGCCAGTGTACCCAGTGGTCAGTGTGAGACCATACCAGATTACAATTCTTCACATCCATAAGAGACACACTGATGGAGCAGACTCAGTAAGCACCAAAGCCCCATTGAAGCAAGTCCTGCCCCATAAGGGTGTCTCCTGCACAGCAGTTCTTCCATTGTAGACACAGCTGGTCCTCCCAGGCAATGGGCTTGGAGGTCAATTCCTCCCAGTGATACCAATAGAAACACAGGGGAGCAGCCAAAATGCGGAGACAAAGAAACAAGTCACAAATGAAAGAAATGGAAGAAAGCAAAATACTGGATATAGAGTTCAAAACCACACTTACAAGGTTACTCAAGAATCCTCTAGACTTCCGAGGAACTTAGTGAGACCTTCAAGGATCTTAGTGAGAATGCCAAAAAAAATGGAAAAGGACCAGACAGAAATTAAACATACACTAACTGAAATAAAGAATAATATACAGAGATTCAACAGGAGACTAGAGTATCCTAAGAATCAAGTCAAAGATTTGAAAAATGAGGAAGCAAAAAAACACACAACTGGAAGAGCAAAAAGAAAAAAGAATCCAAAAATATGAAGATAGTGTAAGGAGCCTCTAGGACAACTTCAAGCATACCAACATCTGAATTATGGGGGTGCCAGAAGCATGATGTGTTGTTGCCATGGTAATCCTGCTCAGTACGAGAGGAACCGCAGGTTCAGACATTTGGTGTATGTGCTTGGCTGAGGAGCCAATGGGGCGAAGCTACCATCTGTGGGATTATGACTGAACGCCTCTAAGTCAGAATCCCGCCCAGGCGGAACGATACGGCAGCGCCGCGGGAGCCTCGGTTGGCCTCGGATAGCCGGTCCCCCGCTCGTCCCCGCCGGCGGGCCGTCGTCGCGCCCCCCGCGGACGCGGCGCGCCCCCGCCGCGCGTCGGGACCGGGGTCCGGTGCGGAGAGCCCGTCGTCCTGGGAAACGGGGTGCGGCCGGAAAGGGGGCCGCCCCCACGCCCTTCACGCAACGCACGTTCGTGGGGAACCTGGCGCTAAACCATTCGTAGACGACCTGCTTCTGGGTCGGGTTTTCGTATGTAGCAGAGCAGCTCCCTCACTGAGATCTATTGAAAGTCAGCCCTCGACACAAGGGTTTGTAAAAAACAAAAAACAAAAACACAAAGAAAAACAATGAATGGGAAATAAAGAGCTTCACAGACAAGAAAAAGCTAAAGGAGTTCATCACCACCAAACCAGTATTATATGAAATGCTGAAGGGTATTCTTTAAGAAGAGGAAGAAGAAGATAAAGATAAAAAATTATGAGCAACAAAGTGACAAGTATGTATCTATCAACAAGTGAATCTAAAAATCAAATGAATAAAAAGGCTGATGAACAGA